AGCATCTCCTTATAATGTTTTGCTTTCTATAGTGTGTTTTTTTTAGAATTAGTAGATTGGTTCGTGATCTAACAAGCCGTACAGATTCGGGTTACGGACATCTCGCGCATTTTATAAAAAATGTCATTCGTAACAAATAATAGCTTGAATTGTGCTTTGAGTAGTGGTTTTTGGGAGTTGTTTTTCGATGTTTTTCTTGATATTAATATATGCTTCCGTTTGCGTCATGTCTTCTTTATTAAGTTCGAACCTTTTCCTCCTAATCGTCGGGAACTCGAGGGGCATACTGTCTGTAGTTTACTGGAGCGTTACCCATCTAAAACTCATGGAAGTACCTGAAGAGAAAGTAGATGATTTCAAGGTGATTTTTGTATTATCTTGTATATGTGTTACATTTAACTCCTTTGAAATTCCCTTAAGTTAGTTCAAATACAGCTTGATTTTCTAGGAATTCTGTGGCATCAGTGATGAGGATGTAGCAGTGAGATATCTGCGTCATTGCCGCGGCGACTTGCAGGCGGCTGTACAGTTGTATTTTCAAGTGATGCCCTCTGTGTGATTTGCGCCCGTAAACGATGTGATGCTATCCATGTTTAGACCGATGGTGTTCTCAATGATGAAGGTATCAACAGAGAAGCAGATGATATAGATGATTTGGCGGATTTTCCTCGTAATGGCCATCCTCGAGTACCAAACAATTGGAACCATGCTGAAACTAGTTCTCGAGGAAACTCCCTTACTAGTTCCAGGTGTGCAGAATCTTCATTTGGACAAAATTTGTGTTTATCAGTAACTTCTATTTTCTTTTTTTCTTAGGCCGAGCGCGCAGCAGTGGTCCATTGTGCAGCCCTGGCGTCAATTCATTGTTGCACTTATCACGCTACCGTTCAACTTTGTTTTCACCACTATCTTCGATATCCTCAAGTTTTTCTGTGGGTTTATCTAACACTCCTTGAGTGCCCATATGAAATTCTTTATTAGGTGACATAGTTTTTGGAGAACGCCCTCCTTCAATCACCAATTATCGCGAGGATGTGTCAAGGTTCAGACAGGCTGTGCGTGAGAGGATAGGTAACACGCAGGTGGAGTTCTTCGATGGAACATACGAGGAGGTGATTCACTGTTTATTTAAATGCCTTATGTGTTAACGGAGTAACAGGCCTTGTTCCAAGTCACTTTCAATTTCTTTTGATAATGAGATGATTGCTATTTTCTTAGATATAGAAAACGCATAGATTCTTCGCCATCTTAATCCGGTTGGAGGAGAGTTATTTAGTACACTATCCAATCATTAACGAAATATTATTCTGAAGTGACCCTACTTCTTGATAAATGTCCTGTGTTTACTAGTTGTGCAGGCCCAACGTTGTTTCTATCCATTTCTCTCTCGCTAAATCATCCATGATGTTGGTGTTGGACTGCGCGGAGACGTTTGCGGGGTCCACATCCATTTGTTACCATTTGAAATTAAGCTGATCCATACGTGCAACAAACACGTTAGCCAATCTGTTCGGTGGTCTCCCTTGAGGACGTTTTGCTTTGCGAGGAATCCATTCCAGAGTTTTTAGTGTTCAACTGTCATCGTCCTTCTCATTATATGACCACTCTATTGATGTTTTGCTTCAGAGACGTATTCCGCTGCTGGATCGCGAAGACGAGACAATGACCTCATTTGAATTGCGAAGTCCGAAGATGTTGAGTACATCGCTTGTACTTCAAAAAATGTGGGTTCCTTGGAGAGCCGCGACGTAGCCACAGTATCAGGCCTTGTCTCTGATGCGCAACAGAGTGCAGGGAGAACTGTTGAATCGAAGAGGTGGACTCGGAGCTCTGGGTCTTTCAGCTCGTCTTTGGCTTCCTTTAGAGCCCGAAAGCAGCTTAAGCTGCTCTTCGCTTCCTGTTTAGTTCTTCTTCTAGATCGTTCATCATATTCGTCGAACGCCCAAGTCA